TTAGACTTCCAACATACGTGCAGAGACACCAGTTTCTACAACCACAGGTTTGTAAAAGTTTCCACTGCCTCTTGTTCTTAAAATCAGGCTTGCTTCAGGTGAGAGACAAATGAGAAATGCATGCAAGCATATTTGGATTATTCAAAGTTTGCAGCATTTGTAAAAAAGATTTGTTTGCAGTTTATTTTTCATATACAGATGCATACCTGCCAAACTGCTGTGCCTTTTGCTTGGCAACTCATGCAGATGGGTTTGTCAGTATGGAGAAGAGCAAACAAACCCATACCACACACATACTCAGGCAAGAGCTTCCACCAGCCAGGCAACTGAACAGGAGATCTTCACTGGTTAGTTAGGATGAGGCACTAACCCTCAAAGCTTCAGTAGCTGTGGACTCTTCTCCACAAGATACACAGTGCAGACAGTTACGCTGCCTCTCCTACTGACGGCCCCTCTCTAAACAAAGCTCTACACCAGCAGTTTTAGTACTGAAACTTCCATTTACTCCAGGCTGTCCTGGAAAAAAAAAATAAATACACGGACAAGGTCCAACCTAACATTCTTACTAAAGGGCTTTACAAAGTTCCAAAAGTTTTACAAAGAAAGAATAGGCTTAAGAGCCTTTACAAAAGCCCTCCAAATAACAGTTCCTAAGCTCGCATGCAGTAGCCAGAATTTAAGGGGTGAAGGCAGGGTAGGTTGGCTACACAGCAGCAGGAAAATCAAGATGTCTTCTCTCACGGGACACAGGTGCACTGGCCTTTCCTACATCTTCAGGGATCTTGCATCCTTGCATCTTCAGAGGCTGGAGTCACAAAGCCAAATGTAATGTTGCACCAGTATATCCCAAAGAACAAGACTGAGCTCCACTGAGAGGAGACAGAGCCAACGTATGACTGAAAGTGACCATGCCCCTCCCTTACCATCTTGCAAAACATCTCTGAAGAATAGCTGTAATTTGGATTCACAAAGAAGTAGGAAAACAGACCACAGCGCAATAAAACACTCTGCATACTTTTCTTTCATGCTGGAGAAGGCTGTGGGGAGAGCAAGATGTTTGAAGACTTCATCATTGCATTGGAACAGATAATTAGGCAATTAAAACTATGAGAAGTGAACAAATTACCAGTTCCAGATGAATTGCTTTGCAGAACAGAAATGGGAAAAGTGAGAAAACAGAAATGAGAGCCGCTGGCAAGCGTTTTAATAGCACAAGTGAAAGAGGGGCAGCTCGGGAACAAAGGTGAAAGGGCAGTTAATTTGCAGAAGCTTATCTGCTTCTCTGAAGGAACATTTTGAAGGGGCCAGCCCCTAAAAGAATCTTATTTTTCACGTGCCGATAATCAGAACACACTAGCAAACCCAAGAGGACTCATTCAAGAAACCAGATGAGGTTTAACAAAAGCAAGTGTAGAGTCTTGCATCTGGGGAGGAATAATTGCATGCACCAGTACAGGCTGGGGGATGACCTGCTGGAGAGGAGCTCTGCGGAGAGGGACCTGGGTGCCCTGGTGGATGACAGGTTGGCCATGAGCCAGCAGTGTGCCCTTGTGGCCAAAAAGGCCAATGGCTTACTGGGGTGCATTAAAAAGAGCGTGGCCAGCAGGTCGAGGGAGGTGATCCTCCCCCTCTACTCTGCCCTGGTAAGACCTCATCTGGAGCACTGCGTCCAGTTCTGGGCTCCCCAGTACAAAAAAGACAAGGATCTCTTGGAAAGAGTCCAGCGGAGGGCCACGAAGATGGTGAGGGGCCTGGAGCATCTCTCCTATGAGGAAAGGCTGAGTGAACTGGGTCTGTTCAGCCTTGAGAAAAGAAGACTGAGAGGGGACCTGATCCAGGTCTATCAATATCTAAGGTGTGGGGGGCAGAATGGCGAGGCCAGACTCTTTTCAGCGGTGTGTGGAGACAGGACAAGGGGAAACGGCCGGAAACTGCAGCATAGGAAGTTCTGCACCAATGTGCGGAGGAACTTCTTTACAGTGAGGTGACGGAGCACTGGAACAGGCTGCCAGGGAGGTGGTGGAGTCTCCTTCTCTGGAGATGTTCAAGACCTGCCTGGATGCCGACCTGTGCGACCTGCTGTAGGGAACCTGCTTTGGCAGGGGGTTGGACTCTGTGACCTCTGGAGGTCCCTTCCAACCCCTACGATTCTGTGATTCTATCTTCATTTTTTGGTCACCCCACAAGGCTCTCCTGCACTGTGTTCCAAATGCCATCAGTATCTCCCGACATACACACAGAAGATGTGTTTAACCATTCTGCTCCATAAGAAACATCAATAAATTCATTTTGAGCACTTACATTTCTTGATCCCATGGCACTTAGGATAAACCACCATTTCATATTCTGTCCCTACTGGGGAATAAAAGGACATATGAATCTCACATGAAACCAGTTAGTCGAGGTAACTGTGCTGCAGAGACACAAGGAATGCATAGAGTGTAGCTAGCATAGCTAAGGATTGCCTCTTGTTCAACTGCAGAATAGAGCATCTCGCACTCAAAAAAGCCTCAAGAAATGCAAGTTAAGAATGAATCCTGAGCTTTGCAAAGGATTTTCCCCATGTGTTAAAAATAATATTAAAAAAAATTAGACAATATTTAGACAACAAGACAAGAATGGGATGAAGAACATGGAAGACACAGCTTGTTAAAAAAATACAGAATACACAACAAGTTTCTACTTCACCGCTTTACATCCCGAAGTTTAACTAAGAGAAATACAAAACAATAACCTCTAGAATTAATGTAAAAGCAAACATCAACTTAAAACATGCAACCAACCTCCTGATGAAGATTTCTGATCACTTTCTTTCTAGGTAAGAGCTTCATAGCTAACGCTATCAAAATGCTCATCTCAATTAAAGGAGGTCTCTAATACCTAGAAAACAAACTCATTCACATGAGTGAATCTGACTCCTCTGGTACAAAAGCAAGCAGATCAGTAGGGGGAAAAAAAAAATGTTTATGAGTTTTAAATTCTTTGAATCAAAGAAAGCCACCCTTATCTAATCCAAACAGCTTGAAATGAGACATTACCATAGGACAGATGTATGTAAAACTCTGATTGCTTTCGCTGCCAAAGAGAAAAGCAATGACAGCACAACTCTGGCATCTTTCAGAATGGGGAAAAGCCATGTACGTTCACTTTCTCTGTGATTTCTAGCTCACTCTCCAGCGCTATTCTGCTGTCAAACTCAAATGCTCATGTGTCCCATTGCCAAAGCAAGACAAGCAGTACAGAAACAAGAGCTGCTTGACAATTCCTCATTAAGTGAACTGCACCATGTGCACATGTAGGGAAACACTACCAGAACACAGATTTCCTCTTTTCTGAAGAGGAGCTCAAGAAAACAGCAGTTTATTTATCCATCACAGAGCAGGATACAACTTACATTCCATCTTCTCCTGAGAAAAGCACAAATAAAAATGAAGTACAACAGACACACCTGACTGACATACGAATTTCAATGGAAAGGATGAGGTCTTGCAGCTGCACTCTATCACTACTCTCTCTTCTTCAGCGATGACAATAAGATATATTTGAATCTCTCCCTTATTTAAGTGTTCTGGCATTAATCATGAATTATAACCAACATCTGACAGCTCCTTTCTTTGACAATCTTTTACAAGTTTTTAATCTTTAATCTGCTGCTGTTTGGCAATCTATAGATGACAAGAAAAATGCGGAAAAAGAATGAGTAAATATAGGAAGATTAAATTTTAAACTGATCGAGGTTTTTCAAGAGCCTCTTTGTAGCCTTGATACAAAACAGAGCATTTTCAGGTTTTGTTTTAGATTGCCAGAGTAACTTGTGTGTTTTCCCCAGTTCCTATGAAAATGACGTGCCCATGGCAGGGGGGTTGGAACAGGATGGTCTTTCAGGTCCCTTCCAGCCCAATCTATTCTATATTTATGAATATATTTCAGTTTTTGGTACTTCCATGCTTTCTACTTTCAAAGTCCCCTCAGTCTGTTTTTGCTTATCCTAAGAAACAACTCGAACACCAAAACTCATGTAGGAACATACGTGTTTCAGACAGCTGCACACCACCACAGAAGATTCCAACAGTATTCAGAAAATTAATGCTTCTTTCTTTTACATAATGACTGTGAAAGCATTATGAAAACGTCTTACACAGATCTCTCCTATGATAGTTGGTTTTGAGCTTTCTTATAAATCCTAAACACAAAAACCCTGGCCAATTTCCTGAACTTTGTTCACATGTGAACAGACCAGCAGCAGTCAGACGCAGTGCAGTTCTGCTATCAGGGATACCCAGCAGATCACTGCTCATTTACTCACCTGCTGTAGGTGTTGCTCAAAAGCATCACTGCAAAAGAAGAGAGCAACAAAAAGAGTGTGGTAACTTACCTCAGCACACCGTGATCGGAACGCCTTGATTTACAAAGAAAAACAGACCATTTCTTTTGGTTATTGTTTGCATTTAATTGAGGACAGTGTAATCAAGATTGGTGCTGCTCCACCTGCACGTGATAAAAGTGCACTGGGTGTGGGTGAACGACAAATGGAGTTAAACAGAAGACACCAACACGCGCTGAGCAGTCACCCAGCTTTACAACCAAGGAATACGCTTGCTTCCAACAGCTCACAGAAAAGCTGAAGCACAAACAAAACGACAGAGAAGCACTGATCTGCCCGCAATCCTGAACTCTAACCTGCAGCTCCGCACCTCCTCCCTCCAGAAACGTCTCCGGCAGGCTGCAGCTGCCGGGTACGGACACAAGGTTACAAACCACACCAATTGCAAGCAACTACCAAAAGGCTTTACGGTACAACTACCGTCCGCACGCAGGAACTTCTCCAAAGCAATCAGTCCCCCCGTGTCCCGTTCCCCCCCTCCTCCCCCCTTCAGATAAATGAGAAAACCTCTGAAGAGACAGCAACGAACTCCACCACGAGCATCCTCAGCGCCTGCAAAACTCCTCCCGCGAAGCCCGGAGCGCAGCAGAGCCCGGACCGAGGCGTTCTCTCTTACCTTTGCTGAGAGTGCCCGTGATAAGCTTGAAAATCGTCCGAGCGAATTTGACAATGCCGTGCTTGCATCTCTTGGAACAGCCGCTCATGGCTCAAACGCGAAGGAAGGTCTTTTTCTCACAGGGTCCAGAAATACCAAGGCAGAGTTCTTCGCAAAGTTCAGCTCGTGCAGCGCTCAGAACTCTGCTCTCACGCGCTTCAGCCTCTACTCAGCTTCGCTTCCCCGGAACCACCAGGAAAGGTCGCAGAGCAGAGCCGCGCTCCCGCCGCCCGTCACAGGTGCAGCGCTGCGCCTCAGAGCCAACCGCGCTGCCCGGCTGGAAGTTGCAGAGCGCGGGGCGGGGAGGGGGAGGAGCAGGAGGAGCCGTCTGCAGGAACCGCGGGACCGTTGCAAAGGGGAGGTTTGCTGCCTGAAGGCTCTGGGCGTGCTTTCCCAGCTGACTTCAGCTAGGTTGTCAGTGCTACTCTTACCAGGCACAAGGGAACCAGTAAATACTTACTCTACTAGTGCTGTACTCACACTTCGTACGTAGAAGACTGCGGAGTATTCCTCTGCAAAACCCGTTAGAAAGTCCTTTTCCACCTGGCAGCCCCGGGTTACCGGCTCATCCCGCTCGCACAGCAGCCCCACAGCCGCACTGGCTGCGCGCTGGTCGCCCGGTGCTCGCGGGCTCCGCTCGCTGCACGGCGGGTTTGTCCCCTAGCAACAGCCGCAGCTCTGGCTTCTCCGCTTCAGTCCATCGTTTCTGCGTGCCCAGAATACTTTCAATAAAAAGAGCTGATGCGTCCGCCAGCAAAGCGGAGATATCTCGGAGCTCCTGACCTCACCTGACGTTAGGCATATTCAGACTTTAATTTGCGCCGGATTCCTCTCAGGTGCATATTAATAACTGAAGATACAGTGTGTGCGTGCGTGTCTCGGGCGGATTACCTCAGGGTTCTGCTTCCCCCCGCTGCACGAGGCGGCAGAGCAACCTGGAGCCAACCGACACTTGTAGGCAGCAGCAGCCGCGTGCCCCGCCGAGAAAAAAAGCTCAGCACGCGGTCCTCCACGTCGGGGAGCAAACGGTTCGCTCAGGGCACGAGGCACCGTCTCGCGGTGCGAGCTGCGCTCCCGTCGGGCGGAGCCGTGCCGCACATCGCTTGGCGGTGACGGAGCGGTGCTGCCGTGAGGAGCCGCCGGCTCCCTCAGACCTGCTGCCCCACCGCCGTACGGTTCGTGCCACCGTCGCTTCGCATCGCCCAGACAGTTCGTTAGACCGTGACAGCACCTCCTCCCCACATCTGTGCGGGTCCCCGTTTCCAGGTTATGCATGGAGGACATAGGAGGAAAATAGATTCCTCGAACGCTGTTAGAAACCGTTTCCAGGTTATGCACGGAGGACAGAGGAGGAAAACAGATTCCTCAAAAGCTGTTAGAAACATGTGGCTGGATAGGGAGTACGGTGTGATTTTCTGCTGTAAAATAACACCTCTGCCTCTTACACCACAAATTTCCAAACAGTGAGGTGAGCAGTATACAGGGACACAAGGATGGGTATGGAGAAGAATTAAAATAAAAGTCAGCAGCAGTGAGGCCTCAGTGGAAAATGCAGAGAACTGCTTCTCTGGGCAGCTCCCAGCTCAGCAACCTTGGCTGACTGCACAGAATGAGCAGCAGCAGATGGGGGCAAAGGCAGGGCTAAGGCACTCCTTCATGACGCTGGTCCCCAGGCTGCCCTTAATTCCCAGAGAGCCAACTCAAAGCTGGAAATGCAACTCCCTGAAAGAAACAATAAGGCACTAAAATGTCAGCTGGGAAATCAAGGATTCAGCAGGTTAATTATCTGTATCAGTAGGTTTGCATCATGTTTAAATGCATATGCATATATAGATATAAACTGGGAGGGGGAAATATAAGATAATTGACACGTTAAATGAAGATTTTGAAACAGCTCTTGCATAGTGGGAGAGGCAACAGTATTGTAACCCAGACATCACTTTATACCTTTCTAACCCTCCCATTTTCACACTGATTTCATCTGTTAGTTTCTTTTGGCCCACACTATGCAGGGAAATGGGCCAAAAGAAAACAGAATGTGCAATAGGAACAGGTTATCTTAACAACAGAGAATCATGAAAACTGCAGCAGGTTCAGTAGAGTGGTAGAGCTTTGCAGGCCTGTAAAGCTGAGGGAAAGCTGGAGTAAACCAGGCAGGAGTTTCAGTACCCAAAAGGCCCTCTCAAAGTAGTCTCCAGAGCTGATAATTCTAAGAACTACCCAACGAAATACTGGATGCACCATTCAATGCCATGGACAGAATGTGTGAATGGGAGTTCAGAGGCACAGTTCTGATCTGCTCAATGGTTAGTCCTTTTTGCTAAAGGAATTCAGAACTTCTAATAGTGATTCCTGAAGCCCTACCAGCCTATTGTGCTAACTGCAGCACAAACCTGAAATAAGGATAGTTCTTATTTAAAAATATTAAAGGCAAAGGAAAAATAAACTCCGACACAAATAGATGGATAACGAAGCATAGCAAAATAAGATAAACCACTGCTCATGGCCGTAGTCAGCACTGGCACAGGCTGCATGCAATGTCATGTGGCCTTAGTGGGGAAAATGTCTGAAGACAGAGGGATAATGATTTTTATTATTATTATTTTCTTTAATGTCGCAACTGCAAGAGCCAGCGTAAGAGGAAATACAGAGCTGCTTAGTTTAAATTTAACATGTTAGTAAATGCAGGCTGGTTATAAACGTTGTTTTGAGGCATGAATCAAAACACTGAGTAGAAGATCACATATGGCCCCAAATTCCTTATTGATGTTGTGTGATGGAGAGCACAGAGCCGATCTTTAGAGACTGGCTGTGAACTTCTCTTAGATGCAAAGATGTTACACTACTCCCGATCCAATCTTTTTTTAATGGTCATTTCAGACTGCAGAATGAACGTAGACAGGTGGTGCATCTTTCTAGATTTGACTCCAAGTGTAAGGAGATCAAAGTTGGAAAGACACACCTTATGAAAGTAAGGTTATTCGACTGCAAGACTGAGGTGTAGGGGAAGTCATCCCAAAGGGATATAAAAGCGAATGCATTGTAGGAAACTGTTCTTTCTTAATTTACCATCCAAAATCACCATGTCGGTGAGAGGTAAAAGTATTCCCTGAATATATAAGACTCCTAAGTTCAACCAAGGGTTCAGCCAGCACAGTTCCTACTGACATCAAAGGCAGTTAAGCCTATTTACATAAGGAGGGAGTTAAACATATTAACTTGAAACCACGCAGCAAATGCTTGAGAATAATCTCCAGGACAGGCATGAACCAACTGTGAACTCAGATGCAGTTTTTTTCTCCCACATCCCCATTTTTCTGTGCATGCGTTAGTTTTGGAAAGACCTATTCCACAGCTACCTGCTGCCAAGGGTGTCAGAGCATAGCACTCACATTACTCAGATCATCCCACAGATACCAGCACATTCTGGAGGCCAAAAACACAGAAGGAATAACGGGTGGGATCCACCATAGATCCTCAGTACTGTCAGAGCAATGAGTGCTCACTCATTGCTTTTACATTCTTTCCCCAGCTTTCTGCTTCTTGGAACTGTAGGAAACAGTTGTCAGCTGCCTGGGTATTTGGCCTGGCCCCTATTTACAACTGGCTGCAGACTACTGTACTAAAGCCAGAGAGTTCCCACCCTGAAAAAGCAAATCCATGTCTTTTGTCCTCTGGTTTAAGGGAAGAACGTAATTGCAGAAACAACCTCATTACAAACATCTTCCCATAATTTTTCTTCTCAAGTTTTTCCACATTGCTATGATGCACTATTAAACAATATGGTATGAAAATATAGAATCTTTCATCCTGCACTCTTCGGTTCTGATGTGCAAATGAAAGCCAGAGACTTGGCTGCAACATGCCATGAACTCCTGCCCAGCCTGTGCAGCCTTCCAAGAAAAGAGGTACAACAGCAGACTGTATGCACCAAGACTCAGATTTATGTGGTTGGTTGTGCTTTAGATCCAGAAACACTGATGCAGGCATACACTGCATCTCCTTCACTGCACTCCCAAAGGCACAGCCGTCTCAGGCTAGACCATGAATAAGATTTTATTGACCTGTTTGGAAGCAAACAGGCAATTGTTTCTACTATCTATATCCTCAATTAGTTGAAATATGGAGGTATTAGCAAAGCAAGAGCAAGAGTTTTACTGGCCCCTATGACAAGATGTGTATCTTCAAGGAGTAGCTTTGAAAATTGATCTACTTAAAATGAACTACTCAAATGTGTTGTAAGCCTGTGTGGATGCAGCTCTGAGCACGCCGTACCCCATGTGTCACTGTTATTGGCAACGATACTAACACTGAGTTTTCATGTATACAAATACAAATATTCTAGAAGCTCAAGGAAGTTTGTACTAATATCTGTTTTTAGAACGTGGTAAACTGACATAAAAACAAATAAACTCACTTCCCCATCATTACCGAGAACAAAGTGGCAGCAAGATTAGAATCAGCATCTCCTTTGTGCCAGTCTAATACTACAGTAGCAACAGGCCAGCCCTTATATTAGTTTCTCCGCTGTTCTCTATCATTGCTGCCAAGCAGATAATAGCCACGCTGCGTTTTCATTCACTCTGTAATTCCAGTTAGTATTATCAATCAGGGGTTCAGGAACACTGCAGGGAGATTTCCTCATCATCACAGAACTTTTTTTTTTAATGGCACAGTAGTTACATCTCGACTGAAGCAGCTTTCTTCAACTGGAGGGGATTGTATAGATGGTTAGGCATCATTATTTTTACACAAACTGTTCATTCAATTGCATCATCTGTTTATTTAATATCCCATTTGTCAAGCCTGACTAATATTTAAAATATTATATTATATAAATATTTTTATTTAATTATATTAAATATTTAAAATACATATAGATATTTAATTAAAAATCTAGGGAAAGAAAGGTTGCTGTAAAAGCAGCACGCATATTAAAACAGGCTTCTCAAAGTGCTTATGAGAAATTAAGAAGCTCAAGGGCGCAAAGGGGTGTCTGAAGTACAGGCATAAGCATCCTGAGTGCACATCAAATGAAGTACCAATTCTGACTTTTTCAGGAGCAGTCTGACATCTTAGCCTTGGAAGGCACTGCAGGCAGGTAGACATCTCTGCCTGGGGAAAATCACTGAAATTCTGAGCAGGTAGAGCTTTTTCCCTGCAGAAGAGGGTGAGAATAGTGCTAGGTTT